TATTTTCCAGAGGTTTTAGACAGATAGTTTTAGACCTGCTCATCCTTGCTGTATGACCAAAAAAAAAAATGTCTAGGTGGGTCGGGATGGACTTCTAAAACTTACATGTCTTCTCATTTCTTTGTGGTCTCTGCTGTAGGAAGGGAATTGACAAAATCCCCCAGAAGTCCATTGATCTTAATATGAAAGATTGCAGGAGAGGTTAATGCTCGCAGGAAAACTAATGTGACTGAAAGTGCTCAAGTTTGATTTGATTCTGCCCAAAGTGCCCCCCACATTTTAATGGTAATTAATTACTCCTGGTTTTAACCATTCTATCCTCCAAACTGGTTTGAATTGGTTAAAGAAGAGAGGCTGGGCTACTTGGGTTCATGAAAACGAATGGAATTAGAGATGGGGGAGGCGTGCAAATCAGGGACTCTAAATGTGGGTGATTAACGGTGCACCTGTGACCAGAACTTTCCCATCGGGTTTGTTTTGTTATTTTTAAGTGAGCCTTTAGGCAAAAAAGACATTCTTGAGTGACCAGACGCTACCCTTGAAAAATAAACAGTCTGGAAATGGCAATCTCAGTCTTCCTGGGAGGTGGGGGTGGGGGTGGCAGAGAGACACAAGGATCTTCTGAAGGGCTCCTAATGCAAATTTCTTTCCAAGCCTGTGTGTTCCTCCTGCGCTGCGATGAACTTTTCACTGAGTTTGGGGCTGGATCTAGAGTGCCATTCTGCGATCCTGTCTCAGTTATTGTGTCCGGCAACATTTTAGTCTTTGTTTCATGCTGGATTGAGAGTCAGACTGGTCTTTAAAACAATCTCCATTGCTTTGGGAAGAGAGTGTGTGTGATCAGTTTAATATCTATGTTTTTGGGGAAAGAGGTTTAGCTTTGACCAAAGAATTAGTAAGACCTTGAGGAAGGAATATTGATTTATTTTGTTTCCTATTATTTGTAACGGAAGGCCTGTCCTTGTTTTATTTTCATGCCAGATCCCAAAACTATGTATAAGAACAACACTTCAGAGCAGTCCATTTTCAACAAAGGATGTCAATAACAATAACAGCAATAATAATGCAAACTTTGTCCTTCGGTTCTGTTGCAGAGTAAAACATTTTTTGGGGGGGAGTGTCAATTCCATGTTAACAAACTATACTCACGTTGAACATTGTGTATATTAAATAGATTTTTTTTTAAAAAAACTGAGATGGGTTACAATGGCCCCGATTGTCAAGACCTGATTGAGTTAATACCATATCAGCAAATGCGGCAGCCAAAGGAATCGGTTGCTTCTCTTTGTGTTTCACAACCAGAGCAGATTACAAATTTTAATGATCCGAAAATGTTTGGTATACAAAATCATGCTTATTTCAGTATTAGCAAAAACACAAGAATTTTTGCAACACAAACACCCAGCTGTGTCTATTTTAAAAGCAGTTCAATGACAGCTTGCACTTATGAGCATGCAATCAGCTAATTTCGCTTTTTCCCCCTTCTGTGTTAATCAACACTTTCCTTCCTGCATATCATATAGTATGGTTGCTCCACATCAGTAAATGTTTACCTAAGCTATCTTCTTCCCCCAGAATTTGAGGAGGAAAAAGGGATTTAGGAGAAGCTATCCAAAAAATCCCAAATGTCCCAAATAATAATAATAATGTAACAACAATAGCTATTTATCTTTCACACCTCCCAACTTTAGACAATTTTAATAAAGGCAAGCAGCAAGCCCTTGAAAAATGATGAAATCTCGGGTTCTGGGGGAAGAGGCGTAATACTTGTTCATGGATTGAATCACTTTAAATCATTTTTTTTTAAATGCAATTTCTTGCTGCCTACTTCAGGGAAGGGAATGATTGTTACACGGCTTTTTTCTTTCTTTTATCCCTCCATCCTGCACAGGTTACCTCATAGGGTTCCCCGATAGTTCTTATTTTTCTTGGTTGAAGCTTTAGCGTTAATATAACAGTTCTCTGCACTCTCCTCCCGTCATTCGTGAAACCGGCATCACAACTTACATTTTCTACGCTCTGAACGTACTGACGTGCTGATGTGGATAAAGTGATGACAGCTTCGCTTTAACTTTG